TTGCTAGTGAACAGAGTACTTGGACAATTGAGGTGACTCAGTGTTTTGTTCTCCGTGTGAGAGTGGAAGAGGTGATCAAGGACTTCGTGAAATACACGTCCTTGGACTCATCTTCAGGAGTCGGGTATCATCTAGCTGTGTATCTTTCAGATGGAGGTTGTGGCCATTTCTGACATTCGGTCAGTAAAGTAGTTAACACATGGAAGATAAATTCCTCTTTCAGAAGAAGACCCTGATCCGTCATGTCTCCTGAAGCACTGACTCGTGTTAGGGCTCACGCACATTGGGGTTTTTGGCCATCTAACTTCTGAGTAGCTAACTATAGTTGATAGGGTGCGAATAATGGACAGAAGGCGCCTTGTCCCATAAATCTTACAACGAGAGGTATGAGGAAAGAACTATAGCTATATAGGGTAATTGTGGTCATATGCGATTTATACTGCTTTATTTCACATGTTTGTTAAACTTCCCATGTCTGGACTACCTGCTAAATTAAGGACCAGCTCCTCATTTCAAGACCTGGCCCAGTATAGGTCCACCTTATCTTTACAGTCCTGTTTCCATGTGTGTATCTCCTTTAGTCTTACCAAACTGCCTTTCTGAACTTAGTTGACGTCCGAAACTTTTGAGGGTTTGACCCTTGTTAACATCCGATTGAACTTCTCTATATGAAATGCTGGTCTAGAGAAATAGCTATTTTTAAATAAGTCATTGGAAACAGGCGACATTTTCTAACAATCTCTGAAGTCCTCACTACTATTAAACGCAAGCAGTCTTGCCCCCAAATTTTGGGATTGTGGTGGTACTCTGAAGAAAATCTTCACATCTGGATTATGTTTAACTCAATAATGTAAAAAATTAGTTCTGAGTTGTTGTAATGCCTTCAGTTCTGTATGAATATGTGGGATTGGGAGTGGAGGTCATGGAAGTAGCATGTGGCGTGACCTCTGCTTTCAGGGAGTTAAAATTTTAAGGATACATGAGATTAAAAGATAGACGGAATTCCTGAAGGCTACAGTACTTGATGTGTGCCAGGAAGTGCTAAGCTGTTTTGTTGACCATAGAGATCCTGGGGTATCCTGTCAGCGGTGGTGAAGGCCAAGGTGGTCTCAAACAATGCTTGAGGAATTGAAATAGTTGAATTGAGCTTTGAGCTGTGTCTTGGAGAGTGGGGAAATTTGTTCAGGCAAACTGGGGAGACAGAAATGGCGTGAAGGCATGGAAATGACAGGGACTGCGTGGTGAATGTACCTGGTGTGAGCGACCTTGAAGGGATCCATTGACTTGCTTATCCTGAGAAAGGCAGCTTTGGTGTTTTGCAGAATAGAGCTACTATCATGGCACCTCCTTTTTTTCTTTCTTTCTTTCTTCTTCTTTTTTTTTTTTTTGGAAGTGGAGAGAAATCAAAATTTATTTTCACATATAACAAACGTTAGGGAAATTTGTGAAATGATATACTTATTGAAAATAGTACATTTGACTTAAAAATCACTTCCTTCTTCATGGACCATACAAAATTATGAAATGGCTCAAATAATTCCCACCAGGGTTTCTAACATTATATATTACTGTGAAACAGTTCCTGAGCAGGAAGAGATTGGGGACATTCTAGTCCAACCCCCTCATTCTGTTTTATTTCATTCTGTAAGTTTTGCATATGATCCTCAGGTGACCTGGCACACAGAGACCATATACAGAATGGCGAACATTTATTGAGGGTGAATTGAGTGCCAGTCCAGCATGCACCTCCTTCTTTTCTCTCCAAATCCTGGGATCTAGAAACACAACCTTGTTGGCTTCTGAAATGTCAAATTGTGTTCACTTTATTTCTTTGGAATACACACTCAAAAAATCTCATGATAACTTACAGAGGATCACATGATTAGAAACAAGGACTTCCTTTGAAGATGAATGAGAAGGTGGACAGTGGAGAGTTGTGTTTGGTACACAGACCTGTCCCTGAGTGTCCATGGAATGCTCCACTTTCTGATGAGTCAGCAGCCAAGCCTATGCCTGTGGGTCAGTGAGGTCTGTTTGAAGGGATGTTCTTTGTGGTTGATTGAATGTTTGCTTGGCCAAGGATGTTGCCTCTCTCTGAGCCATGCCGGTATCTGTAATAGGCTGGACCTTACTGAGGGTTAGAGGAAACTCTTTGTTGATACGACTTCATTGATACAATCAACAGAGGCCTTAATTTTTAAAAATATTAATATTGATTATGTTTGATAGGTGGTTTATATTATTCATCCTTTTTCGTATATATGTATGAAAAGTTTTATCTTTACATTGTAGTATCGTATTAGTTTTTTCAAAGGATAGCAAACTATATTTAGTTATAGTATAAGTATTACTTATATTGGAAAATTTTTTCTTCACAACTACCAGAGAATGTCATGTAGCCTCTGGGGATTGGGGTAGTAAATCATGGTTCTGAATTAGGATGACCTTAGTTCCTGGACTCTTAATTCACATCTCAGGAAAGGTTTACCAATTAACAAAGTATAGTTGTAGTACACTAAGTGACTTGCTTTTCCTTCTTTAGTAAGGGTCTTTGTTCTAAACTAAATGATGAGTAAATTTGGATAGCATCAGGTCCATTTAGTGACTTCCCTTTTCCCCATTCTCCCCAGTCTCCATTCTTTTTTCCTTTTTTTTTTTTAGAGAGGGAGAAGAGGGGAGGAGGGAGCAGAGGGAGAGGGAGAGAGATCATCTTAAGTAGGTTCCACACCCAGCGCAGAGCCTGACACAGGGCTCCATCTCACGACCCTGAGATCAAGACCTGAGCTGAAAACAAGAGTCGGATGCTTAACTGACTGAGCCATCCAGGCGCCTCTCTGTTTATTCTTAAACAATCCTGAGAAACACAGAAAAAGGTAGCAGAACCATATTGCCATTCCCATATGTGCTGTCTTTCTAAGTGAAAGGGATATATTTTTAAAAATATTTATAATGCTGAAATAAGATTGGTTCCTAAGAAGAATAGGCAAAACCACATTGGAATGTCAGTGAAGATAGGATAGCTTTATTGTTAGCTCAGGAGGTAAATATACTACTGGTTACAGACCAGCACCTGTTCTTTGCTGCTGCTGCTGCTAATGACACAGTTGTGCATAAAGGAGGCACAGGAAAACTCCGGAGAGATCCCTGGGATTCCTCTTAGCACATTCTACCCCATTAGGTTGCATGACTCATCGTAGCCTTAATGTGGAATGTTTATTTTATTAACTGGGTCTATGCTGTTTCATATGATTGCCTTATTATAACCCCAGTGACTTGTCTGTCCTTTGTTAAATAAAGCAGTGATTTAAATGGCTTTTAAAAAGCAAAGCAAATAAAATAAGAGAAGGTTTAGTCAAAAGTACCGTGCATGATGTTTTCATTATGGTTCTACCTGCTCAGAACAGATGCCTTCCAGAGCAGTGTTCCATTTAAGGAAGATTTCTTGGCAGAAACCTCAAAAGTTTAAGCACTGAGCAAAGATCCCATTGCTTTCTTAGATTAAAAGCACTCGTGCATTTTTCTTATAACATTCATAAATGTTTATCCTGTTTGAAAGGGTAGACAGAATGTTGAGACTTACTTGATGGCAGAGATACCAGTTTTTCTAGATAGGGTTCCCCTCTAAAACCTGAAGATTAAAAACCACATTCCCATTGTGCCTGTCTGAGGTAATGACCTAAGGGATCCTTTCAGCTCAGTCATAGAATTCCAAGATGATTTTCCAGCTTCATCATTATAGGAATGTCATGATTTTCTTTCCCTAGATTTAGACCTTTAGAGTTGTCTACCTGATTTGGGAATCCATGGACATTCTTCCCTTGTTGCTGAGCTCCGGGTTTTATCTAGGGCCCTCAGAGCTCTGTGAAGAGTGGTGGGCCCAGTGCTGGAGAAAGGTCACCATGCTATTTTTGCCTGTACCTTTTGATTTCCATGCCCTCTGTGCTTGAAAATCCGTTTTGTTATCCTCCAGATTTTATTCCTTGTGAAGAAGGAATAAAGCCACGGGAAAAATTCCCTTCTTTCTTTCTTTTTTTTTTTTTTAAAGATTTTATTTATTTGACAGAGAGAGACATAGCGAGAGCAGAAACACAAGCAGGGGGAGTGGGAGAGGGAGAAGCAGGCTTCCTGCAGAGCAGGGAGCCCGATGTGGGACTCGATCCCAGGACCCTGGGATCATGACCTGAGCCGAAGGCAGACGCTTAACGACTGAGCCACCCAGGCGCCCAAAAATTCCCTTATTTCTACTTCACAATAATTTCACAGTTTATGAATGGATGATATTGGAGGTTGATTAAAAACAACCACATCAGGAAAGCTACGAACTGTCAAAGGATTGCATTGCATAATCATAGTTCAGCTTTTTAATTTGGTATACATGGAAAACATTTGCAGAGCAACTCAGCCTACTGGTTTGTTACTTTGAAAACTGTTTGCTTTTCAGAGTTTTCTCCAGGTGGTAATTTCAGTCATTTTTGAGAAATGGAAAAATTAAAGTTTAAAAAAGTGCAGGTGTGGCTGGTAGTGGGAGAAGGATATAACTTGCTCTGAAATTTCTCTTCGGTGTTGAAATATGTGAAACTTTTTGAGAACCATGGCTTTTATTTATTTATTTTAAAGATTTATTTATTCATTTGGGCGTGGGGAGCAGGGGTAGAGGGACAGAGAGAATCTCAAGCAGACTCCCCTCCAAGCCCGGAGCCCATCGCGGGGCTTGATCCCATGACCCTGACATCATGACCTGAGCCGAAACCAAGAGTCGGATGCCTAACCGACTGAGCCGCCCAGGTACCCCATTAAACAAATATAATAGTTTATCACTGCGGGCAGTAAAGTGAATTTTTCTTTTCATCTTTCTAAAATAGAGTACCTTTCAGATCATGTTATCAAAATGCTGAGTTTCCCTTATGTTTTTTTTCTCTTTCATTGCTTCCCTCTGATGTGGCTGCTGTGTTGACAACCCTTTCTACTTCTGCTGCTGAATTTTTGTTTCCATCATTAAGGAAACCTCCCAAGGTAAGCAGTGATGTGGAATTTGGCATGCATACTAAGTGTGCAAATATCCAGGACTTCATCCATCACAGTAACCCATGTGGAACACCTCTCCCATTGAGAAGAAAAATCGGCATTCTAATTAAAACTTAAACCATGAAAAAACAATTTATGTCAGTAATGACACAAAATTAGAATGCTCCTCTACATTTGCAAAGCACTTTCATACATTATTTCATTCTTAGAATTAATGCTCTGGTCCTCAGAGCGAAGCTGTCAGCTTCCTGTTTCTGTTTTATTGATGATGAAATGAGGCTCAGAGAGTGAATGGTGTGTCTTATTTTACACATTGGGTAAGTGGAGAAGCTGGGACGGTAGAGTATCACCACCTAGAAAATGGAAAGACAAAACTGGTAACATCATGGAATGATTGTTGACTGGACAGATGAACTACCAAGAATAGTTGATGGTATCAGGGAAATTCTCCAGACGTTCAGATAGTGTTTTAGCTGCCCACCAACTCTGTGTGCTCTGTTAGAGTTTCTAGCCCCTCACAAAGTCCACTGACTGGGGTTGTTCTCCTTGCTCTGGGCAGCCTTCAATGGCATGTTTACCAGGGGAGTAACCCATAAGTTAGAGAGTAGGTGGGGAAAAAGAATATGAGAAGGAGGGGATCTGAATGATCAACTCATGAATAACTGAAGGCTGATTTTGTTACTGGTGAGTATTTTATTGGGTATCAAAGGGACACTTAGTGCCAAAAGGAAGGATAAATTCAACCAGTCCCTGACCAATAATGCTGGTTATAACTTTGGTCTCTGAGATGGAATCAAGACAGGCTAAGCACCCCCACCCCCCATTACATGGTCAGAATCTAAGACATGCTGGGGAGGGTAAGGCTTCTAGAGTAGATTTGGCTTACTTGCCTCTCAGGCGATAAAGGAAAATCTAGCTTAGCTCTTAGAAGTGGAAACCCACCAAAATGTTAAATGTTATCCTTTATGTTTACTGAAGGCAATACAGGAATTGTCCTTGGCACTAAAAGTTTCAACTCCAGCAAGGAAGGTATATATTGAATAAATAGTATGAGATCTTTTAAGAAAGAGGAAATATATGATGTTATAGAAATGTAAGCACTGGCCTCTGGCCAACCCTGAGGAATTAGAAGGTTCTCCCTGAGCACTTACTGATTTGGACATAGTCCCAAAAAGCTGCAACCAAAAAAGTGTCTCTGCTACTTAGAAAGATGTGAGTTCCCCTAAGTAGCTTTTCCTTCCCTTGCTTTTGGTCCTAGAAGTTTCAGAACAGACTGTCGACCTTGTGATGCATTTAATTCTTTCCCCACACAAAAAGGCAATGAAATCCTAGGCAATTTGATATATGGCTCCTTAGTGAAGGAAAAGCACTGAAATAAGGGCACAAAAATACATTTAAAAAAAAAATCACTAATTTCTTTATACATAAAGATTTTCTGGGTTATTTTCTATTCAGTATATAGAGTTTAGTGGTTTCCTTAAGTGTTCTGTTGATAGTTCCTAAGAAGTATCATGAAATTTTCAAAATAAAATCAATGTGAAGTCACCACATTTAAATATATGTATTTATGCATGTCATAAGGCACATCTGAGAAGTATAAAGCTGGTCTTGAAATAAGTGACACAATAGAGTGTTATTTTGAAAAAAAGACATTAAAATAAATAAGGTCTTTTCTTGCAGAAACTGTAAACATTGACAGCAGACAGGAAGGGGAAAAGTGTTAATGATGATTACATAAACGAAATTTCATTGATTTTAAACAATGAGATTTTTTTTGCAAATGACATATCTGATAAAGGGTTAATATCCAAAATCTATAAAAAAACTTATCAAACTCAACACCCAAAAAACGAATAATCCAGTTAAAAAAAGGGCAGAAGACATGAATAGACATTTTTCCAAAGAAGACATCCAAATGGCTAACAGACACATGAAAAGATGCTCAACATCACTCACCGTCAGGGAAATACAAATCAAAACCATGATGAGATACCACCTCACACCTGTCAGAATGGCTAAATTAACAACACAGGAAACAACAGATGTTGATGAGGATTCGGAGAAAGGGGAACCCTCGTGCACTGTTGGTGGGAATGCAAACTGGTGCAGCTACTCTGGAGAACAGTATGGAGGTTCCTCAGAAAGTTAGAAATAGAACTACCCTGCAACCCAGCAATTGCACTACTAGGTATTTACCCAGAGGATACAAAAATACAGATTTGAAGGGGTATATGCACCCTGATGTTTATAACAGCATTAGCAACAATAGCCAAACTATGGAAAGACTCCAAGTGTCCATTGACTGATGAATGGATAAAGAAGATGTGGATATATACAATAGAATATTACTCAGCCATCAAAAAGAATGAAATCTGACCATTTGCAATGACTTGGATGGAGCTAGAGAGTATTATGCTAAGCGAAATAAGTCCAAGAAAGACACGTACTATGGGATGTCACTCATATGTGGAGTTTAGGAAACAAAACAGATGAACATATGGGAAGGGAAAAAAAAAGAGGGAAGCAAACCATAAGAGACTCAATAATAGAGAATAAGCCTGAGGGTTGAGGGAGGGAGGTGAGTGGGGGATGGGATAATTGGGTGATGGACATTGAGGAAGGCACTTTTTATGATGAGCACTGGGTGTTATATGTAAGTGATGAATCACTAAATTCTCCTGAAAACAGGAGAATTCTCCTTGGGTAGAGAACATAGGCACAATTTAGTATAAAATCAATTGTGTTAAAGGCCACAAGAGGCAAAATATTTGTGGAAATCATAGGATGAAGGGTCTCATTCTGACTTCTGCAGATCTGAGGACAGCTAGGACTGAAACTAATACTAAAAACCTATGCTTGAAGGCACTGGAGAAATTCCAAGTTAGTGAAGAATTACCAAATCAGGATCCAAGAAATGGTGGAAATTTAGAGAGGTGAGCCTGGTTTTTGAGTGTATGCCATTCAGGTAGAGCAGCTTAAAGGCAGAGCAGTGTTTCTGACAGCCTCATGGGATCTGGGGAGCCTAGGAGGACAAAAGTGTTGGAGTTCAGAGTTTACCAGAGATGGAATCCTTGGTAAACTCTTTATACTTTGGGTTGGCAGAGTAGATTGAGATGCAGCCTTGGGTGAGGTATAAAGATGAAACAGAAGTAAACCTACCTTCACATGGATTACCATGTGGTTATAAGTTCTTTGTGTGATCCAGGAAGTCTCAAGCACTAAAATTGGATCAGAGTGATCCTAGAATGGAGGTTCCCATAGGCACCTGGCAGAAGCAAATGTAATCCCAAGTCTCTAAAGATTCCACAGACCATTTTAAAAATACAATGTCTGGCACACAATCAAAGATAAAGAGGTGTATTACGAGATAAGGCAACATGGACAGGAAATAGCAAAAATAATAAAAAGTAGAAATAGACCCATAGATGCTTCAGATGTTCAAATTGTTAAGCATGAACTTTAAAGTAACTATGCTTATTATATTTAAAGTGATAAAAGATAAAACTTTAAAGTGTTGAGGAGGACAGAAATTATAAAAAATGACAAAACAGATTTGGAAAATAACCCAGTAGAAATTCTTACCCTGACAATCTCAAAACCAAAATTAAGTTCAGTGTTAGGGTTTAGCAGAAGACTAGATCCAGCCGAAGAGAGAATTAAATGACTAGAAGATAGGTTAGCAGAGATAACAAAATGAAATACAGAAGAGACAAATTGTGTGGAGACAACTGGACATTAGCATGCACAGAAATGAATTTAGATATAGACTTTATATCCTTCATAAGAATTAACTCAATGTGGATTATAGACCTAAATATGAGATGCAAAACTGTAAAATTTCTAGAAGATAGTGTGGGAGAAATCTAAGAGATCTTGTTGTTGCTGATGACCTTTTAGATGCAACATCAAAAGTGTGACCTGTAAAAATAAAATTGGTTAGTAGAATTCATTAAAAGTACAAACTTCTGCAAAGGCACTGTGAAGAGAATGAAAAGAAAGCCACAAACTGGGAGAAAATATTTGCAAAATACATCTGATGAAAGACTCTTATCCAACATATTAAAAAAAAAATCTTAAAATTCAACAGTATGAAAATGAACTACCCAGTTAAAAGATGGGCAGAAGACCTGAACAGACACCTCACCAAAGAAGGTATACACATGGCAAACACACACACATGAAAAATGGTTAATTTCACATTAAAACAACAATGAGATGCCACTGCATCCCTGTTAGAACAACTAAAATCCGGACACATCTGACAATACCATAGCTGGTGAGGATGTGGAGCACCAGGAACTGTCATTCATTGCTGGTGAGAATGAAAAGTGGCCACTTTGGAAGGCAGCTTGGAAGTTTCTTACAATGCTAGACATATTCTTATCATATAGCTATGTAATAATGCTTCTAGGTTTTTACCCAAATGAGTTGAAAATTTTTGTCCGTACAAAATCTATATGTGAATGTTTTCAGCAGCTTCATTTATCATTGCCCAAAACTGGAAGCAACCAAGATGTTCTTCAGTAAGTAAATGGATAAACAAACTGTGGTATATCCATACAATGGAATACTGTATGAATTATCAAACCATGGAAAAAACATGAAGGAACTTTAAACACATATTGCTTAGTGACAGAAGCCAATCTGAAAAGGCTACATACTGTATGATTCCAACTATATGACATTCTGGAAAAGGCAAAACTACAGACATTACAAAAATTATCATGTACCTGGGACAGTACCCATAGCACATGGAAGCTACAGAATGACTGTTGGAAGTGTGAGGAAAGGAAAGAAAGAAAAAGAGATCTGCTGGAGCAGGAGGACACTCACCAGTTTAGCACAAAAAAAGGTTGGAGTCCAGCTAAATTTTTACTTCCCTTCACTGATGAACAGAGCCACTTTGCTAGAGATTAAGCCAGAGAACACTGTCTGCCCTGATTCCATTCTCAAGAAAGATCCAAATATCTGGCTAGTCCATTATCCAG